ACTTCAGCTCTGTCATATGAAGTCTGAAAAGATGTGTGTAAATGTTCTTGTTTTTTCATGGCGTTGCTGCAAAGGATTTCAGTTGTACCAGAGATTTTTCCTTTCCTTTCTATACCACAGAGAGGCAGCAAGCAATTTCCTCACAGCTCTCAACTTGCAACGCAAGAGTCGGAATCAACAGCATGTTCCTCATCCTGCAATTTCAGGTAATATCTGGGCCGCGCTCCGGATCGCTTTGTCCATGATGGACCAGCCAGAACTTTTTCAAGCTGCTAATGTGGGTGACCTGGATGTCCTATTAAAAGCTTTCAACATTGAGCCCTAACATACAGACAGATACACAACACACACACATATACAACACACACACACAACCACATACACACACACATGAAGCCCGCCAAAAATGGGAAAACATTTCATTCTGTACAGGAGAAGAAACATCTTTAAATTCCCAGTTTGATCAGATAATGACAACTTGGACATTTTTCGTCAGAAGGAGTTCTAGAGGATTCCACCAGATTTCCAGGAAAAAAAAACCATTAAAAAGCACAAAACTTTGTAAATATCACCATGCTCAAATGTTCATGATGAATCCGAGTGAGCATCATCTACTAGAACACAGATGGGAATTGAATGAAGCAACCTCATGTGAATGTTCCTTATTACATGGACACATATGTACAAGGGAAGTAAGTTTTGAGCTATGTCTTTAAAACAGCACATGTAAAGAAGCAGAAGCGTCTTGGGCAGTATTTATTAATTTGTTATATCTACTGTCCTGAATCAATGGGAAGTATTCACGGCTTTCCCAAGGTCTGTTTTCCACAAATCAGTATGTGCATGTTAGAGTAGCTGTGTTTCCTCCATCAGTATATTTAATCAGCAACCTAATTTAGAACTTTAAATTAAGTTAACGGTTTCTTTTTTTAATTTTTTTTTATTCTGGAGTCTAATCTCATAAAGTCCTCCAGGGTAGAGATCTCATGAGGATTATGCACATGAAGAATTTGCAGGTCAAATCATATATTTTAGGGTCATGTTGAGCAAACATGAATTGTTATTTGCACTAGAGGTTGGGGAAGGTATGTGTAGGGCTGGGCCTAACTGGGCGCCCTGGACAGGTATCTGGGTGCACCTCTATCCCTTCTCCAGATACACCTATTGTCTCTCATAACCCTGCACATCTTTACCATTGAGAGTAAACTTGTTATGGAGCCTTAAGACATGCGTTTTCAGTGATTTTTGGAGGCAAGTTGGGGTGGAAGCACTTGTTGCTACCTGTCACTGTTTGAATGTAGTTTAAACCACTTCTGAAATGACCCCACAATGGTCCAGGAGTATGTTATGCACCAGGTAGGCAACTGCAGTCTGCTTCCTTTCCCTCCATCATACCTCTAAACAACATTAACCATAGGCATAGAACAAAGTTTGGGAAAGTTCTGCTTTTGGACTTCTCCTTCTCCCTCTCTTGCCGGAGGCTGAACTACATTTCCCATAATCCTTCAGCCGATGTTGCTAGCAGTCAAGAGATTCTGTGAATTGTGGTCCAAAAGTTACTTTTTCAGACATCGGCAACAGGGTGTATACAGCAGCTGGCTGCACACTGCCCTGTACAGAGAAGTCCATTGTTCCCATTGCATGTTGCTTTGAGCTGAGCTCAAGCTGTTACTAGAATCTATGTACTTAATGCACTTTGATCTTTCTTTTTTTTTCTTTCTTGTGATATTCTAAAAGTAAGGAGGTAGAATGTGTGGCTTTTGTACACTTTTGTCTTTAGGAGCAAGAGATACAGATTCAGCCTTGTTGAAATAAAAGGACCAAATTAAACTCCTTGACGCAAAGCAGGGCTTTCTCCCTTCCTAGGCTACTATTGAAAATGAAAACAGAAGTCATAAATTACAGTCCCCAGGGAGAGGATCTTGCAATCACGCTGCAAGGTCACTGGGAAATGGGAATACTCTTTATAAACCAAGGGGAACTGGCCACGAAGAGGCATGAGGGTGGGATTTCCTATTAATTTCAGTGGCTCTCAGGCAGGCCTTAGAAATGCTCTTTTTCAGACTATAGCTCCCAAGATCCTTGCCATTATGGTTCTGGGAGTTGTAATAAAATAAGAGAGAATATTTTCCAAGCTGAAGTAGAATAGAACCCCAAGGGAATTAAGTGCCTTGAGCAAATGGTCTTCATTTGCTTATGAATTTCAGAAGGGGCAAACCAAAAACGGAGGGAGGGGAGAGAAGACACATGCTGGAGGCTTACTAAGAGGATGTGTTTGAGTGGTGCATCTTCTGGTGTCACGGATGGAAGTGAATGCATGAGGATCACATCCATCCAAGACAGACAGAGAGAACTATGGGAAGAACCCCCCCTTTTTTTTTCTTTCCTTTTGTTTGAATCAGCAACATTTTTAAAGTTACATACAATGGCAATCATTGTATAAAAGTAGAAAATGGCAGTATACAAGAATATTAAATAAAGTTAATTGACTGCAGCTTCAGAGACCTAATTCATGCTGAAGTGCTTGATAGGGCTAGCAAGGAGCACTGATAAGCACTAGAGCATAGTTTATGTCACTGTGCCTTGGTAAGATGGCAATTTCCACAACCTTGCTCTAAAAATTAATTTGCTGATATATTCAGCATCATAACTGGATGGCCCAACTGGATTGCATTTCCTAAATAACCTCAAAAAAAATACTTAATTTTAATGTTTTCTGTAAACTCAGCCTTTTGCTAGTTTGTTTCTCTCACACTTTCTGATTTTGAACTGAAAGCGCTATTCCTTTACATAGAAAACTAAACGCACCCACATTCTTGCATGTCTAAGACAGTGTTAGTGGGCTTGGGAAAACCCTGACGTTTTCAGAAGTCCAAATGGAATATTGATTTATTCTGTCCAGAGAGGGGAAAAACCTTTGAAAGTTGGGACACCAACTTGAGACGCACACAGGGAACGTGGAACGCTGACTGAGAATAATAACAATAATGATCTCAGAGCTGCAAGGACCTTATGGATCATTGTCCAGCCTCTGTCAAGGAGGCACAGTGGGGAATCAAACTCCCAAACTCTGGCTCTGTAGCTAGATACCTAAACTACCAAGCTATCCAGCAGTTCTACAGTAGTCAGCAAAATCATTATGCTTCCACTTTAATTGTCATGGCTGTCTCCTCCGACTCCAGGGATCTGTACTTTGTAAAATCCTCTGCTTGAAAGCTCCAGTACTATAGTTCAGGGAAGCGTACCAGAGCTCTCTAGCAACAAAATCTAATTACTGTATCAAACTACAGATCTTTGGATTCCATAGGAAAGAGACTTGCCAGTTAAAGTGAGATCGAGCTGTTGTGATTGTGTTGTGTAGCTATGCTGTGACTCTTGGGAGAAATGGAAAAAGAAGGTTGGAATGGAATAAATGGAAGGGGATCCTGAACGTTTCTTTGTATTGCCTACTTTCCCCCCCTAAATTTAAGAATGGCCTTTGCACCTGAATCAAGTGCAAACTGGGACAGTGCTCTGATTTTCAACAGTTGGTCATCATGGGTCCTCAAGAGGGAAAGAGCCTATCACAGTCTTCCCTTGCTCCTCATCCCCATCATTAGGGGATGAGAAGACCACTGATTTGGCGGTGTACAAAGATTCCATGTCAGTGAAGCATAACAGACTGGCAGGTAATCTCACGCCGTGCTTCTTCTCACAGAACCACCACACTATAAGGCAAGCACATTCCGGTATAGACGGCAGAGAAGAAAACCATTCACTCTTAAGAGGCAGCTATATGGCACAGACAGCAGTAAAACTGTAAATACTCCAATCCATCATGCTGCTTTCTTTCTACACTGCTACTATAATGCTCTCTGCAACCATTTGTAATATCAGTGCATGCCAGGTGGAAATGGCCATTTATTTTTATGGCTTGTGAACCAACATTTTTGCTGCCTTTTTTTAAAAAAAATTGCTCATAAAGTCTAGATGTGATGGTTCATTGGCAAGTCTGAAACAGCTGGGAAGAATTTTGTATAGAAAACCGGAGGTATTTTGCATTCCTCTGATAAAGCAGAGGAATTAAGGAAGAATGCTCTATGGCAGTGGTCCCCAACTTTTTTGGGGCCACAGACTGGCTGGGGGGAGTGAGCTCCATGTGCAGGGGGGCTGGACACCCCCCGTGTGGCCACCATGAAACGCCCACCGCATGGGCATGCGGTGGGGGGGTGGAGATCCGTGTCTGCGGCCCTATTTCAGCAAGCCCACGGATCAGCACCTGGTCACGGACCGGGGGTTGATGACCCCTGCTCTATGGACATGTAATGCTTAGAGCCCATCGGCATGATCTGAAACAAGACCCAGCAAAGAGGATAAGACTTGCAAAAGAGAACATTTGGCTGGGTCAGTCCATGCAATATCAAATGCTCAAGTACCCTCTGCTTTTTTAAAACTAAGGAGCCAGCAGGGTTTATTTCTGTTGGTACTCTTCCTTCCCTAACCATGTGCTCAAATGACAGTGGCTCCCCTAATGTTGCCCGAGGAGGGCTCTTACCCTTGGTGTCAGTTGCCACTTCCCTCTCTAACAGAGACACATTAAGCATAGGAGTGAATTGTGGCACTTCCAACATCTTCTCCAGCTTGGACTCTCAGGAGAGCTCTAACGTGAAGACAGGGAAACACAGTCTTTGCCCTGCCTCACCTAGCTAACTTGTCTTTGGGAGAGGATCAGTTTCAGCCAGAGAGAACGCCAGGGCAGAAGAAGAATTTTATGGCCCAGCTGTTAGTGCTCTCCCAAAAGCTCAGAAGAGGGCAGAGGACAGTCCTATCAGGGAGGACTTTAAAGGATGAAGGAGGCCTGGCAGATGTACTGGCCATTTGCTTGGTGGAGCAACACTGGTACCGGCCTTGGAAGCAGAGACACAGATATGCAAAGGCCAAAGGGGTACCTGATAACTAACCAGAAGCAACTGACACCTGGGAGAGGCATGCTAAGAGCTGTAAATCCAGCCTGAGGACGAAAGACAACCATCTTAACTGAGCGTTGTCCAACACTGTTTCTGACTGCCCCGGACTCCTTGCGACTGCGTGCAACCTGGATTGATTGATGATGGTGCTTTTATCTGTTCCTTGTTCGACAAGGGGAATGGTTTACTGAATGGACCTCTTGACTTGACCCTCAGAATTCTGAATGACAGCTCAACGCTTGGCAACTGATTGGCCTTGGCAGTGCATTCCTCCCCCTGTGCTGCCTGCCAACATTACGTCCATTGGTCTTTATGCTAGGACTCCTACAGCAATTGGCTACCTTTGCTGCTTCCCAGTTCCTCATCTCCCATGCTCCATATCTCACAGGGACATGGTTTTGCTTTGGCAGAGAAGGACAGGATGGGGGCCAGGTCCCTTTCCACCCTCTCTAATGCCAATCCAGAAAACAGCACATGCGCCTCATGCTCACACACAACTGATAGTGAAGAGGTTCTTCCCTGCCTCTCACGTGAACTGTCTGAATGGTGTGTGGGCTTAGTCTATCGTTGTGTTCCTTTCCCTCCACATCTGTTGGCTTATGCAATAATGCTTGAGGTTTCTCTGCATTTCCAAGACAGGTTGGCACAAGGAAGCAGCCTCAGGAGGCAGTTTTCCATTGCAGAGAACCATCTGCTACTTTGCGCTGTCTTTTATGGTTGTTGCAGTTTTCTCCTACCGTGCCCAAATGCTATTTCCAGGCATTCGTCTGG